TCCAGGAGGTTTTTTCAGTTTTGTCTACGTAGTACCAAGAGGAGGATGAAAGAAATTGGCAAAGGAAAAGAAGCTCAGTATAAACTATTTGGTTTTAATATAGAGGGTGACAGAGAAACTCCTATCCCAAGGACATGCTTTATGGGGAATCAGGGTAGTTTCACCAGGCCTAGACGTCTCAAAGGAAGAGCCTGTTGGCAGCCTGAGAAACTAAACATTATAAATCACCAGGACCAGATGCTATTTTTACAAGTACTCTGAAATAAATGGGAAAAAATAGAGATACATTTCAGAATTTGTCAATTACCATTAAAAATATCCACTGCTCTGGACAGCTGCTCCCAGCTAAAGAGAAAAAGGTGCAGTTTCAGAGGTAACTGAGGATACTTTCATAGTGTAAGGTACTGCCTTTCTCTTACATCTCTTTCATACTTACTTTATGTTTGAATAAGCATAAAATAACAAAACCACAAGATCACAGCTCTGCAAGTAACCAGTATGTTCTAAGCTACTAGAATTGCCTGAACAAAATAATAATTACAGATACTCTGAGAGCCTTGAGGAAGTCCTGGAGTTTAATCCTAATTGGGAAATGGAGTAAGTAACCATTCCTCACAGGAGGAAAAGTGTAATTTTTCTGATCAGAGTAAGTTACTTGAATCTTCTTCCACCCAGAACAGGCTCTTATTAATTTCAGTAACTTTGGAAGGAGATTGTAAACCTTCCTGTCACAAAAAACCTGCCCAAACAAACAACAAAAAACCAAAGCAAAGAAACAAACAAAAAAAGGCAAAAAGCCTCTTCAAACATGAAAAAAAAAATAAAAATAATTGATAGTAGAGTGAAGGAGGGAGGAGGTGAACCCCCTTGCTGGTTGTTGAACAGCCATGAAATTCTTTAACACTGCTAGTTGCTCCCTGCTCTCCCTCCTCAGCAGCTTTAGAGAAAGTAGGAGCATAAACAGTTTAAAGCCACCTTTACTGGTGCTCTCTTTAGCAATAAAACCCAGAACTTTGGCATAATAGAGGTCTATGACGCAATTCACAAATACTCAGTTATCTCAGTGTTCATCTACTGGAAACATAAGGTATTCCTTTAGTGGGCTTTAATGGGTACTTATATTTATTGTATGCTTATTTTACTGTTACTTCAGGAAACATCTTAGGAAAAGAATATGGAACTTGAAAGGAACTGCACAGTTAGTCCAATAAAAGCAAATTCCACTACCCTTTGAAATCCTACCTGCAGCTTGCTTTCATCTGCTAACAGTAATAGTTATCACTGCCAACAACCTCTGAACAAAACCATTTTGTGACTTCTTTTTTGCACATACCCTTGATTTAACAAGAAGGATGGGGAACATCTGTGGGCAACTTCTTCAGAAGCAGGAGATGAGAAGTTGAGCTTCAGAAGAACCTGAAACCCAGGTTTTCTGAATCCCCTCGAGCTTCTGAAGAACTTGAAACTCAGGTTTTCAGTTTCTCTGGAGAGTGCCCTCACCTTGAGATCGCTTCAGCCAGTTTCTTAAACTCTTCTGATGGATTTTAGCAGGTCATGACAATTTTTAAGCAGCTCTTTGGTCTGTCCCTGTCTTTCCCATTCCCCTTCTTCAATTGCAGCATGTATTCTTAACTTCCGTTTTTTACCAACTGTTATAAGGTATCTGATTACAATCAATCTTTTAATGTGTACCACAGGGGAAGGGAAGAAAGAAAAAGAATTCTTAAGCACTTTGGCTTTCTCATCATCATGCCAGTCTTCTGTTCTGTGTTGTAGTAGAAGATGAATTCTCACATCAGTTTCTCTACTGCTACAGACATGGATTTTTAGCCACGAATCAAATCTTCAAAGATGAGCTTTTATAACCTAGGCCATATCTGCTGCAGAAAGAGATCACCTCTGCATCGTCCATCTTGAAGCAGAAGATCCTGCGCCTCTGAGGTAGAGTTCTTCCTGGAAAGTATCCTTGGGTCACCCATTGCCACCAAAAATAATGCCTTTTAAGCACAGATACATCACCAGATTCCACAAAAATCAGTGGTTGCATATATTCATGCAGTATCTACAGCACTCCATCACCACATGGGTATACAGCAACCATTACAAGGCAGATTTTAGGTTCGCTTTACAAAGAAGTCAAAATACCCAATAAATGTCCTTCAATTTTCCAGTATTTTAGACACCTATTTCTTTCACAGAACAAGGTTTTTGGATGGATGGGAAAGCACAAACTGAAGTAAGCAGCGAGTTGCACTGATAGAAACTACAGCCACATGCAAAAGGAAGAGATTAAAGCAAAGCAAACATGAATAAAAAAAACCCCCAAGCCTCTTGGTAAAACTGTACCTTGTTAAACAGCAGAAGTTCTCACAGATAGGCCTGCAAGTGAGTCCTAGTCATCAAACAGAACTGGAGCCCATGTGTGGCCAGTTCACTGCCAGCTTACAAACTTGTATGTTTTAAAAATCACCTGCATTATTGACAGTTTATCTAAATACTTTGCATTAGCTGGGCTGTAAATGTAATATCAAAGTATGCTTAGTTTGCAGTTTCCATCACAAGGACAAACTACTATTCTGCATTTTTGCTGCAGCTCTTTAAAAATAAGCTTCTATAAAGACATTCAGAAACAGAGTGCAGATACTCTATTTAACCAAGCTTAGACATTTATTTCATACACAAGAGGGACAAAACTTGATTCAAAGGTAATTTTTGCAAATGCATGTAACTTTTTTTGCCCCATTTCGCTATTTGTGACGTGAAAATGAAAAAAAAAAAAAAGCTTGTTGAGCTCAATGAATCACTGAATTCAAGCACAATTTCTTTCTGGAGCCTCCACAATACAACCAACAGGGGGCTGTCTGGCTACATGATGTTATCGAATCTGCAGCAAAATCCTTTTTCTGACTGAACAACTTCCCATCCACGCACGCTTCCTAGAACTGCTTGTTGCACTGGTCATTTAACAGATTTCATACCTTCAAAGCAGTAAAGCTCGTTTTCACCTTTGCCTGATACTGCTCGACATTTCTTATTTTTGTGTCTGAAGTTTCATTATACATAGATGGAAAATAGAGTTTATGTATTTATTGGTATGTTTGAAGATAACAGATACTGCTTATTGGAAGACTTTCACATTGCCTTGGTGACAGGAAAGGTCTGTCACAGCGGTTTCCATACGCTAAGAAGCTACATCTCTTTAAGTGTTTTTGTGTTAGTTTCAGATATAGATATCAAAGAGGCAGAGCAAGAGGTCATTAGCCTTTTTGATAATGCTTTAGAGCATAACTAGACAAAGTCTGTCTGTAGGAGGATCAAGAAAGAAAGAGTAAAGCCCTGAATAAAGGAAGAATAAAGCCCTTGATTTTCCTTACGATGGTTTAAGCAATGGAAATTAACTTTAATGCTGGACTGCCATTCTCGAGAACGGAGGGAACTTTTCCTTGGTGCACACTCAGCTGGCTGAGCTTACCAAAAACTAACACAAAGTCATTCAGTGAAACCACCATGGAAATCTCAGAGCCAGGCTCATAATACTAAAGGGAAGAGGAAGATTCTGTCAGTCCCAAACTTGCCTGGCTTGAGACTCACAGGACTGTAGAACCATAAACATGTATTATTGTTATTGACCGTTCTAGCTGGCCCAATAATATAACCCCTGAAGCTTTTCCTTTGCTTTTATTTCAAGAAAATATTAAAAATGTATAAATTTGAGACTTTATATTCTACAATTTTATAGTACTTCAGCTTTTTTGGAGTATTTTATGAGAGATTCCAAAATGTTTTACTTTTAAAACCACTTAAGAGTGGAAAAGCTGCTGACAGAAGGTTCCTTTATAGGTAATAAAGCCACATGGCTTGCCCTGCAAAAACCATAGGGAAATGTGGAAGTTTCTGTCCATGGCTGTCTCCTATGGCTATAAACAGCAGAAGAAAACATTATGGATATATTATTCCCATCTCTCAACAGAAGTACGTCAGCCTCTAGCTACTCAGCACCGTATACTTAAGACTGAAGATTCAAACTGGATAAATGCTGCTATAATTAATGTTAATTTCAGAACTTCTGAACACAGCGTTCAAGTTTTACATTAAGAAGCAGAGCAATATTAATAAATCAAAATAAGTTTATCTAACACAGAACTGTGAATCAAATTTGGAAAACAACAGAATTGTTGACCTGAGAGCCACAAAATAACATCCAACAGAAATAAACTGTTTAATTTAGAGTGAAAAAGTAATACCCCAGTGATATTAGCCCCCTCACAGAGAGATGAAGTGTCACTCACACCATTGCATTTTCTCTATTGTTTTTTCTTATTTCTGTTTGTAGTTATTTTTTTTCTGATGCACACAACCTGCCACCTTAGAAAGGAGATTCACATATCTCAGACATAAGTTTTCCTTCAAATACATTTTAAAGTTTTTGTTTGTTTGTTTTAAATTAAGAATTGCTGCTTTGCTTCAAGTTATACTGTGGTACAATAGTAATTCACTGCTTGGATATATTTCTATCAATCATTTCTGGTGAATTCTATTATAGGAGGTGGTAATGAAGAACATAAAGGGAATCTAAACATTTCCAATTTCATTACTGTTAGTATCACTACCTGATTAGGAGAGACTTCCCCCAGTACTTAACAAGATACCATGATGAAGGGAAAAGCTGGAGAATTTTCAGATCTCTATAGCTGAATATCAAGTACAGAGCCATTCTCACTTAGTGAAGTGAGCCATATGCAGTACCAAGAAAACTGCTTTTGAAATTTGAAGAACAATGGCCAGCAGAGCCTAAATACATAGGTCTAAGTCATTTAACATTTTTAAAGATGAACTGTTTACCACTGTACATCAGAACTCATTAAACTGTTTCTGCAACATGGGAATTTACAGGTAAATTTATTCTAAAATATGGTGATGTTCAAACATGAACATTACCTTTAGTGTATAAAAGATTTTGCAGAATATTGAAGGTAACTCATGAAGCCACATTCCAAAAATGAGACAAACAAATGTTTAATAATAATAGCTACATATGGAAAAAGAATAAGTGACAATACAGGATGCAAATCAGAGCATTTCGAAGTTCACAGGACTGGACAAATAGACCATGGATCAACAATGTGCAAACTTGGTTCTTCAGATTGAGCTGGTAAACAAGGAAAGTTGATTGCAGATCTGGTCTTTAAGAGATTTAAAATACTCACCTCCTCCTCTGAGATCAGAACTAATAAATGCCATAAAAAATTCCAGGAAGAAATGCATTACTGTAGTACAGCTTCTAAACAAGAGTGTTTTGGGTTTGGGCTTTTTTGGTGTTGTGTTTTTTTTTTTCCCCAAACAAACAAAAACCCAACAGCCCTTCAAGGTGTTTATTACCCTATTTTAAATATGACATGGAGCTGTAGAAACTATATTAGCGTGCAACAGTTTAAGGTAGCCTGTTTAAGAAGATAAGAGACCATCAACAGATGTAACTTTACATAGTATTTTAACTCAAACTTTTGAGTATATTTAACTCAAAATCTCAACTCCTAAGAAGCTCAGCTGTAAATGTTAAGAGCCAGTGCTTCCTCAGAGAAGAGCCTGTTAACTCATTCAGTATCACAGAAGAAAGAAGGAAGAAGAATAAACATCACATCCAATTCGTATTTGAAATAATCATAAAGATGTGGTATCCTCTACTTTTGTCTTTTGTTCCTCTGCCTACAGAATTTTCTACCAATTTCTGCAGCACCTATAGCAGCATCAGGCTTCTTGCTTGCACAGCCCAAAAACATCTTCCCTGGCTCAGCAACACGTCAGGCCAACCCTATCATTAGATGAAATATTCTGTATGATCATGAAGATTGCTTCATAGCACACTAACACAAGGGGGCAAATGAAGATTGCAGAATCTTAAGGCTGGAGTTATCTAACTTCTTCGTGTTTCATTTTGTGATCTTCATGTTCTTTTTACATATTTTACAGTGAAGTTGTAGGTTATGCTTTGTTCTTTTCCCCCCAAAAGCATTTCTCTCTTTGAGTTCCAATCCCCATATTAGTTGAAACATTTTATTTACTTCCAGAAAGACAATCTTTCACATGAAGAAAGGCTGAGAGAGCTGGGACTGCAGCCTGGAGAAGAAAAAGCTTGGGTGTGTGTGATCCAATCAAAGTTGAATGCCTGCTGATGGGGGTAAGAGAGAGTAAAGGCAACATAGGCAGGCTCCTCTCACTTGTGTCCAGTGACAGGACAGGAGGCAGCAGGCACAAAATAAAACGCAGAAAAATCTGTCTAAACAGGACAGGTTGCAGAGCCTCCATCCTTGAAGATATTTAAAAACTGACTGGACACAGCCCTAAAAAACCTGCTCTGCCTGACCCTGCTTGGATTATATGATCTCCAGAGGTACCTTCCAACCTCAACTACTCTGTTATTTTGGGATTCCTTTTCAAAGAATCATAGAATAGTTTGGGCTGGAAGGGACCTTTAAAGGTTACCTAGTCCAAGCTCTCCTGCGATGAGCAGCGACATCTTCAACTAGATCAAGTTGGTCAGAGCCCCATCCAACCTGACCTTGAATTTCATCTCCAGGGATGGGGCATCCCCAACTTTTCTGGGCGACCTGTGCCAGTATTTCACCATCCTCATTGTAAAAAATTCCTTCCTTATATGTAGTCTAGATCTTCCCTCGTTCAGTTTAAAGCCATTACCCCTTCTGTTGCAACAGGCCCAGCTAAAAAGTTAGTCCCCATATTTCCTGTAGGCCCCCTTTAAGCACTGAAAGGTCTCCCTGAAGCCTTCTCTTCTCTGGGCTGAACAACCCCAACTCCTTCAGCCTGTCCTCGTAGGAGAAGTGCTCCATCCCTATGATCATTTTTGTGGTCCTCCTCTGGAGCTGCTCCAAACAGGTCCATGTCCTGCCTGTGCAGAGGGCCCCAGAGCCGGAAGCAGTACTCCAGGTGGGGTGGTGGGGTCTCACCAGAGCAGAGTAGAGAACTACTTCTCTTGACCTGCTGGTCACATCTCTTCTGATGCAGCCCAGGTTGGCCTTCTGGGTTGCAAGTGCACATCGCCTGTTCACATCCAGCTTTTCATCCACTGGTACTCTTTTCAGGACCAAAGTTCATGAAGTAGCTGAGAGCACTAGTAAGGTTGCCCTCTTCTGTGTAGAATATGATGATGAGGATGAAATACTCAGTGATCTCACAGATGACAGCAAAGGCTACTTAACAACCTGCACTTACTTCTGGGTGTAAAGTGCAGAGTGCTTTAGTCAATGTTCAGAATGATCCGAGGTGTGCAAGCCCCTTCCCACAAGCCTGACTCACTCTCTTTGCCTCAGGCCAGATCCCTTCCATAAGGCTGCTGCTTCTTCCAGTTTCAAGAAACAAACAAAACCCCCAAATCTTTGCCCAACCTGTCTCAATCCTTCCGGTTTTCCAGTTCATCAGACCTGTCCTTCCCCTATCGGTTCACAGTTCTAAACTTTCAACATGACACTAGTTCCCTTCACTCCTATATAACTATTAGTCTCAGTTTATTTTCAAGCAGACCTATCTTTCCTTTCCCTTTTATACAAGTTAAGCATCTTTTTCCCATGCAGTTCCTAAGCCCAGCAGAAAATAAGCATCTGAACCTGGAAACAGCAAGCCTTCCTTTCCTACATCAGGCACAGCACATCTCTAAACTGTTAGAAGCTGCTAGGGCCACCAAACAAGGCGGTCCAACCTTTGCCCTTCTGCTCCTTCCAACTCCCTACCATCCCCTGCCCTGTGTCAGTGACAGGGGTGAACCAGAAGGAAACACTCTGTTTCACTATTGTCCCAAAGGCCTGCACTGGCACAATGAAGTAATCCAGAACAAGCAGGTTGGCCACTGGACTTTGACAAAGCCATGCAAGTAGACTTACTTGTTGCATGCTCTCGAATCTTTCAGATCTCCTTTCTCATAGAAGTCCTGGAGAAACAGCCTACATACATTAAAATACTGGATCTACAAGAGTAACAGGATGGGTGGCCCTCTGCAAGCACCACAGTCTGCAGCATGCTAACAAAAATCAGTGACTTTTAAAGGTAGGGGAAGGTAAGTGGAAGAATAATGTCTTTTATAACCCACTGAGTCTGGTCTTTCCAAGCATTTTGAAGTTTTCAAATGGCTGATATGTACGTGCAGGTCTTAGTATTAAGTAGTTACAGATAAATATAAGACAGTGCTACTTAAAGAAGCCTCAGTAAGAGAGCTATTAAAAACTTTGAGGCACAGAGCGTATTTTTTTCTGAGTAGTCAACCTCTTTTTGGCCACATATTTTAAGAGACCTGTAGTAGGTAAATGTACACACAGAAGTGTTTATGAAAAGCTGTAAATGATCTAATACTGCACAGCTTTGCTATTGAGAACTGCTCAGATCTGAACTATATTGGAAATTATAGCCATCAGTGATTTCACCAGTTTAAATCCATAATGGGCAGATAAGAAAACTGTGATTTCTACTAGCACATCCACCAGGCTGAAATTCTACATGGTAAAATTATGCAGATTTATTAATTATAACAACTTTGATTCATATTCATCTATGTCATGTTTGTACCTGTGTGACCGCACCAGTAGCAGGCCTGCAAAGCCTGAAGTCAAAACAAATCCCCGGTGCAGAGAAACCTTTTTTCTTCCTTGTCAAAGATCTATATGATGTATAAACTTGAAGCTGTGAGCACCTATTTGAAGAAGGCATGTGTATTTTAATGGTAAAATATAACAAGGCTAATAAAACGAGATTAGCAAGTGATACTGAGTCATGATAGTGAAGAAAATAAAATCTTAAAAGGAAACACACTTTCAGATCTTGACTGTATCTAAAATTAGTGACATTTACATAACCATTAGTCTACATTTGACTCACCACGGTTCTTGCATGCAGCTTTTAAAAGGAAAGGAGCCTAAGTAATTTCCATTCTCACTGCAGCGATTTCAATCATCTCAATGAAAGATTCCCCTGCAAGAGAAATATCTTAGTGGAAAATGAGAAAAAAATTAGTAAATTCAGTTAGATACACAGTTTAAACTTCTATCCATAAAATTGTTACCTGTCTATAGACACAGTGATTTAAGAAATTAAGTGTTTAATAAGTTTTGTTAAAAATTTTGGAAAGCACTGTTCCTTTATGTGCTCACTTTGCTAAAAACATGACAAAACATTTCACAGTTCCATTCATTAAGAAACACACAGTTTTAAGAGTTTTGATAAAGAAATACTGACATTTAAAGTAACACCATTTTTATGCATATATATATAAAAACACACTTACCAAAGTACTATTAGACAGGTGTATCTCAAGATGGCTCCTTTAATAAATTCAGTTTTCATATAAGTAATATATATGTCTATTCTATATTTACCATCAGATACTATGAAGTCCTAAATACTGTTTCTGAACGGATCAAAACACAAACAAAACGAAGTGTTCACAAGCAATCAATATTTAAATTATAACAACAAAAAGGCATCAGGAAATACATGAAACGTCCTTTTTCATGACTCACATGCAGAAGTGGCTAGCCTTACTTCAGCAGCACAGTTAATACTGGAGATATTTACAGTCTTAACACCAATATTTACGTGCTGCTAAAGTATGACAGACATCAGCATCACAAGTTTGACTAACTCCTAAGTGATACTTCTCTTCAGGATGATGAAATCCTTGTATTTTTGAGGCAGCACAATATGGCCTGCACCTTTTCAATACCCACAAACCATTATGTGCTGCTACGTTATGCCAAGGTGTCTACCATACGTCTGGAAACACACTGAAAGCTGAACACAGAATCCTCTTATTGAAGGTTAATTTTCCTGCACTGACATCAGCTGTATTAATAAACTATAAAATGTTTATAAAACATTTGCCCATTTCCAGGCTGTTTATTTACAGTGAAGCTCTAGACTTTATTGTCAACTGTGCATAATACCGTAGCAAGACATGGACCAGGAACTGGACAATTGTGTGGCTGATAGAGGAACTAAAGATTATGCAGATGTTTACTTCAAAACCAACCAAAAAAACTTTAGGTTATTTTCTAATCTAACTTTTGGTCATCTGGAAATCTCTGACATGAAAAAAACCCCCAACTTTCATATATAAGAGAATAACCTATCTTCAAAATAAGCTTCTGTCAAATACTGTATCAGTCCTCAAGCCATTTGTTACCTCTGCAGGTTACCCTTGCCACAATTTCTGGGCAGACAGGTGCTTCTTAATCCTTTCCAGGGGAAAACAATACAGTAAAAAACCAAACCCAACAAAAATACAGTAAAAAAAACCAAAACAAACCAAAACAAAAAAATCCCAATAGGTTGTTAGCAAGAACAGTAACTTATCTGCTATTAGAAGCAGAAGTTGATCTGGCCCCAGTCTAGAATGACTATGCTACTTTACTCGAAGAGGTAGGCAAGAGACTGGAAATTCACATCCCTGCCAGGTAACCTTTTCTTATACTAAAGTATGTCAGCATTTTAAGCATGCACAGTATTTTTAGTGGTTCCCTAGATAGCATGAAATATGCTTTCTTTAATGTTTTTATACCAAATAATTAAGACAAAAAGCTACTTACACAGCATGGACCCAAGCACTCCATTCCATTGTAATGAGCATTCTGGTCAGTTCATGATAAAACAACTTCTGTAACTTAACAGGGCTATCTGTAAGTGCAAAAAACCTTGCTAGGCCACAAAATGGGAAAGTTTGGTGAGTTTTGCTTTTCTCCCTTCTTATTTTTGCTTCTACAATAACAATAATTCAGTAGGATGATCTCTGCTGGAAAGGTCTGTTGCTACAAATGTGCCAATTAAAATGAGATTTGCCAGTGTAAATTTACAGCTAGCTGCAGCAACTCTGAGATTTTTATATAACTATCTATGTACAAATGTCACTTTAGGAACTGTATAAAAGAGCCATTTCCGATATATTTTATACACTCACAACTTTATTTACACTTTTTCCCCTCTTACAACCTGTGTTTGTTTGCTTTTTAAATTGGACAGCTAAAATAGGCAAACTAGATTATACAGGCACAATCTACCCAGTATCTTAGTGAAGTAAAACCTGAACGCAAAGTCAAAATAAACCAAACCATAAAAGTTTGCTGTGACAGTTGGTCTCCCCTGTGAATAAACAGGGCTAGGAATAAGCCAAGAGGAAGAGTTAAAGAAAAATCACCACCATATATATATATATATATATATAACGTGGAATTCAAAGACAAAGACAGATGCAAGCAAAGACACTAGCCAGCAGTAAACGATTTACTTTAACTTTTCTGGGAAAAAAATATGAAAGATGTTTTCCAGCAAGAGAAAAATACCACTTCTTACTTGTAGATTTACCTTAAAAGATTGAAAGGAAATTATTTAAATAAGACAGCTGCAACATTTAATACCTTTGGAAGTACATTTCTCATTTGTACATTCAGGCCAAATTCTTCATTTGTAAACTATGTGTGTTTAACTAGATACTGTTGTTTCAATTGCCTACTTGTTTTCAGCTTCTAGCTTAAGCATGGAGGTTTTTTCTGTTGCATAAGTAAATCCCTCTAAAATTAAACTACACACACCATGAAATGAAGACTTGGCAGAACTATTATGCTATTTTCTACAGTAAGTACATCAGTAACAGAACTTGCAGGTAATTCCCGCCACCCACCCAAAACACGAACACAAAACCTCACATGCATTACGAGTTGGGGGGTGTATGGGTATGGTTTTGGGTGATTTTTTTTTTTTAAACTTTACTACCAAAAATGCCCCAAACCAAAGACTGAAACACAACACAACTGTCTATTAAACATTGCTATTAAAAATGTATTTTATCTGTAAGGAGAATAAGCAAGTTTTCACATAAAAGTGAAGAGACTGTATGTGGGAGAAGGGGTTGAAGAATAGGAAAAGGATGAAAGGAGGAAGACTAAGACAAAAAGTGTACTGACAGCCAAGCCAGAAATCTACTGAAATCCAGGAATTTCATACATCTATTTTTTTGGTCATAAAGCGCATATAGTCACGTTATCACGAGTGCTTCTCCTACCTCTATACTTGTGTCATAAGTTGAGGGTCTATAGGCGAGGGAGAGACAGACAGAGGAGACCTCAATAAAAGCTCGGAATCGTGTACGCAGGCAGCTCCAGTAGATCCCCCCAAGCCCCTGAAGGGGAGAGCTCTGCTGAGGAAGATGGAAGGATCCTAAAGATACAGAACTGAAATTCCATAGAAGCAGGCTCTCTACACATACACAGGAGAATGCTGTTAGAAAAGCAATTAAACTGTTTAAAAAAGAAAAAAAAAAAAACAAAAGATAAAAGGGTGTGTGTTTTTGTGATTGGGGTGTTCCCAATCAAGGAAGGAGCCTTTTCTTGATTTCAGTATTTCTTAGTTGATTTATCAGAGACCAAGCCTAATATAAAATACCACATTCAGTTTTTATTGGTTTATGGTTAGGAGTTTATGACAACACCAACTCAGTCTCTTTCTGACCCCATGAAAAACCAGCTACAAGTGAATTTTTGACTACTATAACTATTAATAAGCTCCTTAAATTCTACTGCAACTACTACTAAGCTCCTTAAATTCTATGAAACATATTGTATTCATAAAGATACCACTAGCCAGCAATCTGACAGTTCAGTGATTCGGAGTAAAACATATCAAAGCCTTTCTATTAAACACTATACATTGTCTCAGATGCCCAAGAACATAAGATTAAACATTCATCTTGTGCCTTTTACTCATACCACAAAAGCACTCTCGATATTTCTTGGCCAAAACACCTTCCTCATTGATACTGTCATACAGCACCTGCCCAAAACCATGTTCCATTGCTTCTGTTACTTACTTACTAATGCGAAGCAACACAGATCCACTGTGAAAGCAAGGGTATCGCTTCCCTGTTGTGACCCTTTCCCAACCTTAATTCTGTTTAAAATTAGAAATCTGAAGGTGAAAGACACTGAAAGACTTTTAGTGTTCCACAGTCTAAAGCACCACAGTATTTGTCCTCCAGTGCTGCTCTCCCCCATAGCAAAACCATCAGGAAGCATATATCTTTGTATCTCAGTTTTTTCCCCATTTAGCTTAATTTAAGCTAGAGATGAGAAAAGGTTTTGCGCTCAGAGGGCACAGTATGACATGGGGCAGTTTTGACAAGTGTGTCCTGTTCTGTGTATCCACAAAGAGAGTCACTTACTTGTATGGTAGACAGGACATTCTGCAGTGATAGCGTTTTTGACAACTGCTGGTGAATTTGCAAGGCTGTCCTCTCAGAGCTCCCAGTTCAGTGGCACTAATACACCCTTCAATATGAATAAACACACTGACAGCTCAGCTCTTGCTGCAAATACAGAATTATTTTTTTTTTTCTTACTAAATTCATCTGGCCAAAAGACAGAAATAATCTCACTTGCCTATTGAGAAACCTAAACACTTCTATTCTCAAACCTCAAAACTGTAAGATCTAAAAGTGTATGTAGCTGTATCTTGATAATGCACTGTTTACTTCCCCCCCTCCCCGCCCCCACCAGTTGAAACAATAGTAGTTTCACTTTATTTTTGTCATATGCTTACTCAACACTGTAATAGTTATACTGCAAACACACTGGAATTTATAACTCTTGCTCATTCTTAAAGCTTACATTTATAAGTATATTCTTTTACCCTTGCCTTCTGGTTGCTTTGGTTAAGGAACCCTCTTTCCCCTTAATTCTTGGCATCAGCAGCCTTTAAAGTGATATGCATTTATTTTTAAAAAAGGACAAGAGATTCAACTGAAATATCTTTAGAGTAATACTTTGAAATATCAGTGTACTTTTGGCCACTGTTTGGTTCAGGTATAACCTATGATCAACTTAACCAAAGCTATTTTGTGGTCATAGAGAAAGAAGAATTAAGAGAATAAACTATACACCTTAATTGCTATTCTCCTGAAGTAACAGTAAGATTTTGAACTCCTGCTTAAGACTGAAGTTGTAAAAACCAAATCTGTCTCTAACATAGCAATTCTGTGCTAGGCCCGGTGGTTTTGTTTGATGGATTTTGTTGGGTTTTTTTGTGTTTTTTTTTTTTTTTAAATAAACGACTATAATCCAACAATAAATTAGCCCCACTTCACCTCAAAAAGGAGTGCTCATTCAGGATCAAGCTTATACATTCTCCATGCATAACAGATATTCCCATACCTCCTACCAAGAAGCTGAATATTTCCAAGACTATTATCAATTGGTGTTAAAAAGTCACAATTAATGCTTTGGATAATCTTCTGAACACAAAGCTGAATTTTTGAACAGAGATAACTAGCACCAATCTGGAGTTTTGCTTGTAAATTATAGGTAAGGGGGAACGTACAAATGTTCACAAAAAAAGACATTGTCTGTTAACTGTTTCCTAATCATATAAACAATTTTCCCCATACAACCATGGCAAAAGACTGGGGGCACTACAGAAGCTGTTTGCAATGTAAAATATTAGTGATTAAAGTTAAACAGATAGCCGCTAATTACTGAAGTCTACTGTTACTAAATTTGGAGAATCTATATCATGTGTCCAGCCATCTCTCCAAGGATCACGAACAAACATATTTAGACTAGCTGGAGAACTACTGCATAAAATAAACATAAAATAACAAAGCCAGCTAAAAATAAAAACCAGGAAGTAAAACCATTAAGAAATTCAGAAGTACAAAAATACCTGGAAATTTGGAAGCGCAGTTACAGTCTATCAGCATCAAATTCAGTTTTACATCCTTTTAACTTTGTCTCAGCACCCCAACTGCTGCTTATATTCATTTGTGTGAGGTGCACCTCCCTGTCCCTCAACATTGCAGTTATGAAAACAAATCAGGGTGAAACCAGCTATTTGGTACTGCAATATTGATGCTTCTATCAGAGCAATAGCAACCAAAACGCAGTGGATTTCTGTGCAAAGCAAGAAACTAAAGGTAGTCAGTTCTTACTTGAACGAGTACAGGATGTCAAATAGTTTTTATAGCTTGCTAGCTAAAATAGCACAACTAAAGGAAGCTGATATAGCACACAAATATTATCAATGTATATTTTAGTACATTATCAGCATATTTTAGTATCAACTCTAGCTTAAAAATAAAACTAAGACTAACTCCTCCCAGCTTCTAAAGAGTGTTTTGTCAGATGTTGATGCATTAACTAGACTGCTGTATGAAATACTTTACAAGGAACTTGTAAAGTGTAACAAGCTCGCGGTTCTAACAGAGTTTGTAAAAGCTGAATTTCAGAAAACCTTTCCAGATCCCTCTTGATTGCACTGGTATAGCTTGCACACAACTTTTTAAAATCTGTCTTCCCTGCACCTTTGGCATGCACACAGGAACTAAACTGTGTGAACACTTTCAATCTGTACCAGCATTCTTTCTGCTTGAAAGGGCACATACAAAATTAAGAAAAATGAAGAAGCTATTTTCTAATTTCTACAAAGTTTTATATTTCATTAAAATGTTCCTTTCCTCCTGATTTTATCACAAAAAAAATATTAATACTCAGTCTAGTGGATCTACCAAAAAGAAAGCCAGGCTTGTCTTAAAATACAACTTCAATTTCTATATTAGTATTTTTTAAAAAAATTCACAAAATCTTTAAAGATCTAAAAAAAAACCCCACAAAAAAAGCAAGATACATTTTTTTCAAGTCCTCCAGTAAACATATCCTTAGATTATTACACTATTACATTCAGAAAAAGACTATTCTATGATTATAGTTCAAGTTTACAAAACCTGAAGTATATACAATCATTGTACAAGAGAAAAATGGAAGAACCCTTCTCCAAATAACAATATCCATACAACACAAACCAGCTACATAATGGAAAGTTTTTGAGATAGGGAAACAGTTTTTCCAATTAAATACATTAGATTATTAAAAAAAAATATTTAAAAATCAAAACATATAATTTAGCTATTAGTTTTCTGTCCTTTTCATCAATTTCTAGCTTTCTTAAAGAATTTAAAAAAATATATATATTAGTTTTGTTAAATTCTCAGAAAATGTACTCATTGAGCCCAGGAAACAATCACAGGCCTAGTGTAAAATTTTGTGCTCTCCTAAACTGGCACCCAGTCTTTTATGAAAGCAGGCCATGCAGGTATTGCTGTTTAAACCTTCTCCCTCTATAACGTACAGCAAAGCATTTCTTGTCCTCCACAGAATACTTAATAGTCAAGTAGCGTTTTGCAGGAACCCTCGTGTTCTGTGCACAGGATCAGTTCCCAAAGTACTTCTGGGAAAGTAGAAAATACATTAGTGTTAACCAGACTGCTTTTCTAGTTGCTATCTTATCTGAAATTGGTAAATAATAATAAATCATAGGACAGTAATATGGCAATATATACACAAAAAAATTTGGCCTGATACGTAAATACTACTACTTGCACAGCACAAACCCACAAATCTTAAATTCTGATTTTGTTACATCTCAGCATTGTATGGAACTATAATGCCTAAAGACAAAAACCAGACCCATAGCTCAGAATGCAACCCCACTTTTAAAGGGCTAAATTTGCTGCATGTCTGCTTCCAAAGATTTAGGGTCAGAGTGACAATGCTATAAAATAAGGGTCAGAGCACAAAAAGACCAAGGCCACAGAACAAAGAGCTTTTCGTGTCCTGAAAGAAGTTGCTTTTTGTAAGCCTGCCTTCTGGCTCAGACAGTAAATTTGTCTTTTTCTTGACATCATCCCTACATGACTTCTATAAAATGCCAGACAACTCTATGACTTACGAAAGGTGAGGCTGAGCTGTTAGAAGAAATCAACTCGATTGTTAAGGGCATTCACTGGTTAACAGCAGAGGAACACCTCCTTATAATTGCTGTAACTTTTCCTAATCCTTAGCTGTATTTCTACAACTTTATTATTTAATTACTCACTTCAGCAGAAGTTTCAAGTGTCCTTAACACCTTTGGGGTGCAGATTCCTAGTCATACTATTTACTTAGATTACTGTTTATTCAATGGTAGCTGAGGAAATATGCAGGAGGCAACGCAGAAGGCTGTTTTAGTCTCCCCCCCAGTGAAATATTCATAGGAGAGATACCGTCTGACACACAGATGTGTATACTCCCTTTCAAAAACATTTTCTAGGTTGGTTCCCCACTTCCCCATCAGCGAGACCCACTACTCACAGAACTTAGATAATGCAAAATAAAATGGTGCTTTCTAAAGCTGACACAGATTGCTAAGCAGTGAAATTCAGTTTTCCAGCTAGAAAATGAACTTCACTTAGGATATGCTTTTTCAGAACAACAACAATAGTTTTTCCAAATGAAAGGAATTTTATCCACTGGGGGTGGAAAAAAAAAAAAAAGGGAATTAAAGAAAAGGTAAGGATGCTGGGTGCCTCTTATGGCTTTATATTAAGCTAGATTTTCAATATTTCACTAACAAGCTTAAAGTAAAACCATGCTGAATTAACTAGAAGTTAATATATTAAGAAAAAGATTTATAATCCAATACCTAAAGAACTCTAGTAGTCAAAAAAAATTTCGAAATTGTACTCTCGGCTCCTAGTAAACACCCACAAACCAAAAAGAAGACATTATTATCTGAACAATTAGCATTTGACTTTTTTTTTTAAATGAAAAGCTAGTTGACAGTACATTCTTTGAGCAAACATCAGTATTGCAAGAAGTCTCTCTTCATCATAACCTAAACCTATGTGAAAGAATTTGAATTAACACTAAGCTGTGCATTATCTTTTTTAGCAGGTCTAAAGCATGACATTTTAAAATCAGATCTTCCTTACTTCAAGTAATTATTTTCCCCTTCAAAACAGATGGCTTCTGCCCTCAAAGTTACTATATTTAATTTTTTTTCAGTCCTACTAACTTATTTAAAATCAGAACTGGAGATTCATATATGTGGAATTAGGTTAAAAAATATTAAAAAATCCCTTACCTTTTGGCTGTGGAGATCTACAATGGTTTCTGAGTTTCAGTGCCAGCAAAACATAAGTTTTATGTTTTCAAAAAGAAGCAGATTCCTCCTTTGCTTTTCCTCTGCATTAAGCTATAATATGTCTGATTCCTATTTTAAACATTAACTGTAATACTTAAGAACATTATTTGTTTTTTCCTTCCTAAAAATGTATTACAATTGAAAAATATCTTATTATAGGAAAAGCGTAGCGTAACATATGAAAGGCCTACTCCAATCATCCTACACTTTCTGAAGGAAATGATTACTCCTCATCTCTTAAGAAGCACTGGTGCGAGTATACTGATTTTCCTTGTGGTGAATAGCAGCCCACAAGTTAAGGAACTGATGCAAACTGGCAGATTTCCCCTTCTAATTCTGAGTCATATGCGTCATCTTTTTGTCAAAAGCTGGGAAGAAAAAGAGTCTCTCTTCCAGCCTGCCACATGAAACCACCTGCTTAAACACAGAACAGACCAATATTGCAATATCGGTCTGCACATTGCTGCTACTTACACATTTGTTCCTGCTTTATTGAAATAAATAAAATTCTGAAGACAGCCTTAATGTTAACTTAACGACAGAACTTATCTCTTTGATTTAGGGCCAAAAATCAAGCTGGTAAAAGGTAAAAAAAAAAAAAAAGGGAGATTAGATCCATGTTGGCATGAAAATGCTTATTCTTAAATTGGTAGTATCTTACCTGCAAAAGACTAAGGATTCAGTTCCTTAAAAGCTGATATGTATGCTTGGCTTAAGCACCTGAGTATTCAGCTAGATTTGATATAAATATTCACAAATTCTCAAATCAAGAGTTCATGTGTGTAATTAAAACCTCTTTATCACTGTACATTATTATCAACCAATTCCTCAATATTCCCCCCCCCGCCCCAACAAAACCAGAAACCTCCCCTAAACCCCAGAGAATCTAACAACTTCAATGGGTTAAACTCCACATTTGGTTATTTTTTTTCCCCCTTTTGTGCATTTTACAAATGAAGAAGTGAGAAAACTATTTTCTTCTTTCACAGATTCATCAAGGTCACTGTTGGACTGTGTGATGACACAATCTCTCTTCCAGAGGCTCCAGCACCGATTAAGGTTGGGCGCATCATCGCCAGCAGATTACATATTTTCAAATTGCACTGGAGTTGCTGATCAGACCTGCAGAAGACAGGTGTAAATATTTACTGTAACAATGCACTGTAGTATTTCTATAGAATTGTGGCTCTGCCAGAGTGATTGCAAGTATTTTTTATTAAAAAACACTTGAAAGCAGTTGAAGTAAGAATAAGTTTTAGATGTTTACAGTAAGTCGTGCAAAAGAATGCAAAGATAATTCTGCTTGAAGAACTGGTACAGAGTGTTAGAATGATCATGTCATTTTAATCTTTGATTAGTTTTTTTATAAATTAGTATACATGAAATATATAATAATATATATGTATATAAAATTAGATCAAGAGATAGGTATAAACACATACACTTATAAAATGCCCTTGTGTTGAAATTTGTCCTGTGGCACAAGCATTTACATGACTGGGTGTGTACATTTCAATATAATGAGAGAATTTGCATTGCTAAAATAAGAATTCTTGAGTGCTTTTCAAGAACCATGACATCACCATTTGCATTACAGGTTATTATTTAGAAGCATTCAGAATGTTCTATAAATCTATAATGAACACTACAACCGTGAAAACTGTAATTTATTATGTAATGCACTGTTATATAAATTGTTTAAATCGTGCACAATATACACAGATGATTTCTCCTCCTCAGTTAAATGTAAAAGACAGAACCTGATTGCTCATTTTACTTCAGCTATATATTTTTTTTTTTTCCATTAGATATGTTATATCTTCCTTCATAAAGTTATGGACACAAAGTACCTCTCTTGACACCTCACTCTGTGGTGTGGTTTGGTTTGTGTTGTTTTTTTAAGGATATGCATTAATTATACTGTCTTATTAATTTGCCTAACTTTGCAGCATTTTGTAAGAATATTTTTTACTCACCATGCATTCCATTTTCCTCAATATTTAACAAAAGGCATTTAAGTTTCCGTACAGTGTTACCTTACTTCCCAAACCCCAGTACCTTTCAGAGAAAGGGCTCAAGGTAGCACATGAGAGCAAATTCAAAACAACCAAAACCCACCCCTGAATAAGCTACACCCGTTTGACAGTGGCAAGACTGAGTGAGTTAAGACCCTGTGGAAGATGTTTCTTAACTTCTAATTCAGCAAAGCATACGAACTGGCTTAACTTCCTCCTCATTCAGTGGAGCATTCAAGGATAGGAAAAACCAGTCAAAGAAATGATTTAGGAGGGTAATCACAAAGACCAGCTTTTGCCTGGGGGAGACCCTGGGAAAGTCTCCGAAGGCTCCCTCTTTTTTCACCACAGGGCTACAGGCACCCATAACTGTTCTGGGGTAAACTGCTGCTTTGAATTGCCCTCTAGTGTTAGCCTTCATGAATTCCTACCTCAGTGACAAATTCTGTTCAGGTTTTTACATAATGGAAAGTGGGTCAGCAACATAAGTTATATTAATCTAAAAATAAAACAAACAAGAAAATTTTAACAGCGTTTTGAATGAGCATTGTCAGGTCAGAAGACTGTGAGGTTGACAAATAAAGTATTACACTCAAAAAAAAAAAAGCCAGATGAAATCTGAATCTCTAAATAGCAAAAAGGAAAAAAAAAGGCCAATACATTTAAGAGCTAACTTATGAACATTCTTCTATTTATATTTCCATTACTTTCTTATGCAGTTTCACAAACATATCCATTTCTGAAGCAAACAGTATTCACAGCCAAATTCACTGTAATTACAGTGACATAGCTGGGATCAAAACCTTAATGAAAATTGAAGAGTTGGTGTAAAAACAGAACACAGTCTAGCAGTACTAATACCCTGGAAGGAATTATTCTCTCACTGCTAATTCAAGAGTCTCCTAGTTACACTCTAAACCTGGATGCAAAAACAGGCACCATGCAAATGAAGATCCAGATTTTAAACCTGGTAATTCCAGAAAGAAAAGTGCAAGCATTTCCCCAAGAGTTTGTTTCAAACCATATTTTATCTACTCCTGAACTGATTAGAGAGGCCATGAATTTAGGACTTTAGTTCTTATGGAGAAGATATTAGTAACACTTACATATCATACAAGCTGTGCATTTCCACATATATAGTATTAAAGATAAGCATACGACACTTTGTTTAAAAAAAAAAACCAACCCACAAACTCTGGTCATACAGAACTACAATCCCTAACTATTAGTCACTGCCTGAGAACTGAAACACATTTAAGTTAGAGTTAGGTGATAAAACAGATGAAGAAAAATACCCATTTGACTGCTCCTTGTTTAACGCCTGTGCTTGGCATTAAAAGCATCATCGCCCTCTCCTGAGAGCCTGGAAAAAATCTTTTGGTTTTAGGGAGTGTGGGGACAGGGTAACCAGTACATAACCATTCTTTTTGAGAAGGAGAGATTTTTTTGCCTGTGCAAGATACTGACAGAAGTGTGACAGTATCAACAGAGAACTCTGCTCTGCAATAGACTTTTGAATATGTATTTTTTTAGAGATAGACTTTCTCTTACAGGCGATTACAGTGTTCCACAACAGATGGAGCATCCTCCTTTTCTAATTCTTGATCTTGACTAAAATATGGACTAGCTTGTAACAGGAGAAAGCAAAGCATTTTCAGAATTACTAAAGTGATAACACACTTAAGACCACAGTATCTATCCGTTCTACCAAGAGAAAATTTTGCTCTAGAAGAATACAGAAGTTTTAAAGCAAATGTTTTTATTTATCAGATCCACTGGAAGTCACATCTAAATCTAAAATTGACTTATATTGTACTATATCTATTTTGAAGTAGGACATCATCAGTTAAAGTTCAGAAGATCATAATCATGTTCATAATTACAATACTTTCAAAATGTTTATGTTAACTTTCATACTAATACTTTAATTTATTTCCTTCTGTGAGGAGAGGGGGAATAAAAAAAAAATTTAAAAATCTCTCTTCATACTAAGAAGTGGATGGAAAAAAAATAATGAAAAATCTTCGGCCTGAGTGATAAAAAAACCCCAACAAAACCCACAACCCCCCCCATAGAACACTCACAGGAAGTAAAAAGCAAGCTCTTAAAATTTAGTGGGTTAATGGAAAGGTCTGAATATTTTAGAGATATTTGCACATTAAGATTTTTTAGTACTGCACAAATTAAAAAAACACATATTGCCGATTTCTTGCTTTGAATAGATTATCTTAGTAGTATATTTTGCTAAAAAGCACTATTTTTTCAAAATATTCCTGTAAAAATTTAGAATAATGTAACAGAAAAAAAACCTTGTTCTCTGAAAAAAAAATCCTGCCCCCAACAAACTTAGAAAAAAGTTTACTGTGAATACCCATGTATTTAAAATAAATTCAAAATTAACTAAGCTAGAAACAGTGGTTTGTTCAAACACACTACTCAATTAGCAGTTGCATCTTTATACATGCCCTTTTTATGGTATGTTAGTGTGTGAACAGCAGTCTAAAACAAGGTGGATTAACAAGCCATCAATACAGTAGCTGAACATTTAAGAACACTGATTACATTTCTCATTCCCCCACCCACCATTTAAATGTATGGGTTTACATAAATTCCTACAAAGCTTTTTGTTGTAATAAATAAATAAATAAAATTTAAAATAATAAAAAAGAGGCAATATCTTACTTTCATATAGTTGTGTTTGAGTGAGAAAAATAAGCATTTAAATATCCCAATTAGCATGTTTTAACTATTATTGCTAAAAAAACTGTATGTCATTTGTTTTTCTTTTCCTATTGCTTTGCAAGACCATTTTATCAACAGACAAGGAAAAATGAGGTGTAAGCATGCTAGTCTTAAATCCTTCCTATATACATGTTTCATTAAATGCCTAATCTAATAATAAAAGTTAATGTCTATTTAAATCTAATAGTACACAAAACTCCATTTTAAAATAATGTTAGGGCTGGATCTAGTTTAAACTAACAAAATCCAGAAAATTCAGTTGTTTCAGATTTCAAAACTTATGCAGCCATGCCTAAGATAAGATAGGTTTTCAAACAATGGCTGATTTTACATGTGTTGTAATAACTAGGCATGGGTTGCATTTATATGCACATCTCTTTCAGGAAAATTATTTAAGTTGCCTTTGAAAAAGCAAGAGAAGTCCTTAAAGAGAGAAAAGATGAGCTGGCAATGTGATCTGCAACAGTTCCTTTAGATGAGCAGTGAGCATGCATTGTCAGCTTTCAAATTATGATTCAGTCAACAAGGTCTGTAGAGCCTCAAGTGTGTACCTATAGCACGAAAAGCAAAAGTGGCCATGAAAAGTTACACGAGAAGCACTTCAGCAGAGAGGGCTGTACATTTTTTATCTTTTCAGCTTCATTACAATTACATATTGCAAAACAGTTTACAAAGTCAAGCGTACAATTTGCAATAGCCACACCAACAATTTTTAAGGGGCCAGCACTGCAGCCCTTATTTCAGGCTCAACTTCCAACAAAATAAACGGCAGTTTTGCTAAATAAGAACTGCAATAGCAGAGGCTAAGAGTAAAAAAAATAAAACAAACACACCACCCATCTCTCTTGAAAGTTTCACCTACTCTTTGAGTCATGAGACAGACATGCTGACTACCAAATACAAAACAGTTCTAGGATAAAAAATTAATATGGGCCAAATTTCAGCACAAAAACATTCTAGAGCAAGCCAACACTTAGAAACTGGATTCTAATGATAACTGACAACTGCAGCACTCTTGAAAGATACTTGAGCTTGTAAATGAGTAAGACACAATTACTGCAAAATTCTTCTCTCTGAACTTAATAAAAATTATTTAGACTTGTCTAAAAGCTCAAAATATTTTAATATCTTTTATTGATTAAAGGAAAAAGTTTGCATCTAATGAGAACATGACTTTGCAAATCTTTATTCCTGGTAGTGAGTCATTAGGGCTACTTGTGTATTTAAAAGTTTGCAGGATTAGGCCCTAAATTTAAAATCCCTTTGATTTACAGTTGTGAACCAGAAACCAGATTTTTTTGCTGAATAAGAATCTATGAGAAATACTCTGAACTTGTGTCAGACCAAGGAACACTCCATCAAACTTTCACCTTTTAAATATGTCACAAGGGAGCCTTAGATACCTTTGCCTTGCAATATAATCCTGATTTTCATTAACAGGAATGTAATTGCTTTTGTACAGAAAAAAAAAAAATAAAAAAATGAGCAAATTCAAAGAAGTGTTCTGTGAAATCGTTACATTGTTAAGAGAATCAGAAGAAAAAAAAAAGTGAAAAAAAACCTAAGAGAAACACAGTACATTCAGAGCAGAGTTTCTGGACAGCCTGTGAAATATTTATTTATTTGGGAACGGAGCAGGCATGCTACACAAACACTGTTACAGCATTAATAAAAATACTTCCACTGTGATTTTTAATCACAGGAAGAAAGAAAAGATTTAAAATTTAAGAATTACCCATGCACTGATCACAAACTACAAAGCTTATATAGTTATGCTTCACTTCCTATACTTTCTGTATTCAAAGTTTTGTTTCTCAACTGATAATTTTCTGTAGGAAGTCTTAATGACCCTAAAAATCATAGTATTGTAAGAAAAATATATTCAGAACATGTCTGCCTCAAATACTTCTGTAACAGGAGGTGTATTACTGCTAAAAGCCAGCAATTCTTCAGTTACACTAGCCACTAGTTACAACAATGAGGAAAGATGAAATTTACACCTCACTGGATTTGCTTGGTATAAATTAGCAGTTACTGGGATAATCTAAAATTTTGGTTTTTAAAACTTCTCTTATTTTATGGTACAATTACTCCCTACAAAAAAAATGTGCTCTTGAAGACAGACAGATTTGATTAAGGATAAAAACTGGATTACAGCTGAAAGCTGGAATTGCTAAAGTCACGACATGTTCATAAAATTTGTTGTACTGTAATATATTTTGCTGAAGATAAAGTCTTACAGTTTTTACTACTCCATTTAGTATTTAAACAAATTTACTCAATCCAAGAGCAGTTACTATTTTAAATTCAATTGTTTACGTAAATCGTTAATTAAGATTATTCATATACAAGTAGATAGGTTATGATTACTCTGAATGGATTTCTCAGTTTCAGCCAAATTAGTACTTTTAGTGCAAAGCTGGACTAGCAATATGAGTGTAGCAGAGTCTATATTAATTATTCTCGAATGTTCACTGCTTTAGTATATAATATCTATTCACTGACAAATAGATAAAATAAATACATTTTCTGACTATTCTGGTACAGGTGTAGGGCTCTGAAGACCATTTTTTCCTGTTTTCTGCCTGTTTGCTTGTCAGGTAGCTAGTTTATTAATGCTTTTAAAAATAGATTTTGCACAGTACATTGAAATGCACTCAGCTAGCTCTCTATTCTGTTCTTTACACACCCTCCCAACAACAAAAAAAGAAGTTATTTAAAAATAAACACTATAGCATCCATACTTCAGTTTTGGATTAGCAACATTTCAATTGGAGTAATTCCCAACACAAGAATAGAAGAACAATACTATATGGAGAAATTATATAATTCCAATGATCAAGTCTGTTGCAAACTCAGCTTTTTAAACATATTTTTGGCTACTTCATTTACTTCTGTGCACAGCTTGTGTGAATACTTTTACTTAGTCTTTCATAATTTTACAGAAGGAGTGTAAAGAAGAATTATTTTAACAAATGAAAAAAACTTGAACAAACCCAGTGGAACTGGCCTATTTTGAATAATCTGAATAAGTTAGACTACTGTACACATTTTTTAAAATAAAGAACATATGTAATAAGAGAAATGTTAATATAATAGATACCATGCTTATGCTCCATCAACCTTCCAGAGAGTTTTTCAATCACAGGAGTAAGCCGTTCTCCAAAATCAGCTCTCTATTGAAAGGTCGAAACCTGCAATAAAAATGTCATGTATTATAACATATTTCCAACACCCACAGTTTCATGGTTGATCCCCAAACATAGATGTAGGTCATTGGCTTGACCCTCGCATTGTCTATGTTACAGGAAATCCTAATTTTAAAAATACTTTTTTTTTTTTAACCAAACTGACTTGATTAGGAACACCTGTGATATGCCTCTTTATTATCAGAAGCCTCCTGAAACAAATCAGATTAGCATGTTTCTGCTTTCATTCTTCCCACAGCATTTTAAGATGAAAGTAAGAGGAAGGAACAAAAAAAAGGGGGGGGGGAGGGGAGTGGGGGGGGGGTTGTTCTCCCTCTCATCTACCCCCAATTTCTCCCTCCACCCTCAGACAAGCAAACAGGTAAGTATAAAGTACTTAGTAGATGTGTGATTACTGCTGTCATATTTCCTTAAATATGCTATTGACTGTTATGTTTTTCTTTAAGGAGCTTTAATTTTTTTGGGGGGTCTTCAAGGCAGTACCATTATTGCCTTTATTAAAATGTAGCCTACAAATAGCAGCTACTTTAAAACATATAATGGAAACATTGCTGTCATATAATACACTCTAAAAGATGAAAGAAAATTTTAAAACTTAAAAAAAAAGCCATGACAACAATTAGCCATGATCAGGCAAGAACAAAGAATAACTTGATAGGGGTAGTAACTATAGTCAAATATCTACTGGAGGAAACAATGAATTCACACAGCCAAATTCTTCAATTTATTTTGACTTTTTCACTGTAGATACCATAACAAGACACATCCTATGCCTAATAAGTGAGTAGTAGATGCCTCGATCAGGTCACCTGTTTACAAATATTTCCATAAATTTGTTCTTTATTCTTTAAGTGTATTCTAGAAAATACTAAAACCCCTCTTACAGATATGGAACTATAATAAGCACACTGCCCTAACAAAAAAAAAATAAAAAAAATAAAAAAAATTGTCTGTATTTTCATGTATTCCACACTTCTTCTATTTCACTTTTTAAAAAAGTTTCTGTTCTTAAACCAGAAATACAAAAATTCTTCTGAAAATCCTCCCTCCCCCTGCTTATATTGAAATTTAACATACTTAAAAGATAATACTGAAACCGCACTTACATAAAACCATTTAAAATGAAAATACAAGTTTAAGCCCTATTCAATGTGTAATTATCTTTTTCTCAGACCAAATCTTCAAGTGAATTTTAGTTTATGCTAAATAAAATAATTAGTTTCATGTCTGTATTTTCATGTATTCCACGCTTCTTCTATTTCACTTTTTAAAAAAGTTTCTGTTCTTAAACCAGAAATACAAAAATTCTTCTGAAAATCCTCCCTCCCCCTGCTTATATTGAAATTTAACATACTTAAAAGATAATACTGAAACCGCACTTACATAAAACCATTTAAAATGAAAATACAAGTTTAAGCCCTATTCAATGTGTAATTATCTTTTTCTCAGACCAAATCTTCAAGTGAATTTTAGTTTATGCTAAATAAAATAATTAGTTTCAGCTAGATTCAATGCTGAAAAGTTTATTAATAATCTATTTACTGCGGATGCACTCATTGCAGCGTCTGAAAACAAACTAAATAGTCACGGGGTGGGGGGGTCCTATTTCTAACAGTGGTTTCCTTTAGACATTAATAACGATCACTGAAAGTCACTGCTATTTTTCTGTTTTGAGCAATATAACAATATAGTCTTCAGTTTTAGAAGACATCTCGGGAAACTTTTAACAAAATAAAAGCTAAATGTACATAATTTATATTTTCTACTGTTGTGTTGTGTGTATGTGGTAATAAATGTGTGTGTATGCGAGGTCATCCTTATACACTAGCAACTGTTCTTCACCGAGACATGAAAGTGTTTAGAATTATATAAAGTTATAAAACTTAATATTCTCTATAAAGGATACCTTTTAAAATGATACGCTAAAATATTAGTAGATGCAAGTATTAAAGTAAAAAATTGCCAAACTTTAAGTGTTAGCTTCGCTAGAGCTTAAGTTCTGCTATCCTCCTCTAATATTCATGCAAGACTGCTGGAGTTCTCACACAGCAACATACGAGGCTAAGATCAAAACTATTCTTCAGTTGTGCTACTATCAACTCTCTAGTCAGCAGATATAGCTCAAAGTTTCCTTATTAGAACTGGAGTTTTTTAAAAACTTACAATAAAGGGTTAAAAAAATAATCAGTGCAGACGTTGCCTTACACCCTATTAAACATGGGCAGAAATTTTTTATACCTAGCTCATTCTAACCATTTCTGAAATTGTCCAGTATCCAAAATTAAGATATTTTTCAATAAAGAGATTCCCTTTGAAACCTAACTTATCTAGCTTGTTATGTATTAACATATTAGTTACCTAAAAATTCCTTGTAACTCCTGCCAATAATGTACAAAACAAAAATAAAATTGAAAAGCAACATTTTCACAGAGTTAAAAAAAAGCTACCAGAAATCTGTGGCTATGCTCCTCCACCCTGTCTGATGTCCCCTTCGTATTTGTGGGGTATTTTTTTTTTTCTAACTTTAAAAGACATTACTAATTCTGTTAAATAAACAGATGGTTATAAGAAGAGTCACAGAGAATAACAATAATTTGGGCAGCCTGTTCAAACAAAAGTTTTCAAGTATTACTGATAAAATATCATAATTTTTGAGATGGGGTTCCAGCGTTAGATGTTAAGTGCTTAGAACTTGTAATAAAATATATATAAAAAAAAAATCAAATCTGTGGAGGACACTTACTGGTGTACATAATGTTATTTTTAGTTTTAAAAACTTTATCACAAAAATATTTTTCTGTTTGTACACAAAAGCCTACAGTTTCATTCCCTATTTCTTTCACAGACAGACAAAACTAGCCCAAGATGCGCTCTACCTTTGACAGTTTGTAATGAGTGTAAATTACTAGAATGACTTGCAAAGGGCCTTTGGGTGTGGGTGGATGACTGTATCCACAAAACAGAGTACCTGCAGCCTATTCGTAGGCTCTAGCGATAAGCTTCTCAGTTCTCCCCTATATATTAATTAGTTAATTGCTTCCCAATGCAAATAACAAAAACCAGTAAAGTCCCATTAAAGAAATGCTAACTGTTACGTGGCTACTTTTTATGGAAAGAAAGGTCGTGTGCTTATACATATCTAAAAGTGTTACAGAAAAGCATTGATACACCTGTTAGGATGGCTTTTGACATTCAGGATGGATGAGTTGTGCACCTTCCCCACAATGTTCACAGGCAGGGTGTACACAGACAGGTAGTGTGTATGCAGTCCCAGATGTACTTCACTACAGAATCTAACTTATTAGTCATAAGGGTAATGAAGGAAATAAAGCCTACAATTTAGCACCAAAATTCCTTCCATGACATTACATTTTGGATGGAATAGTAAGAAGTTCAGAATTCCAGATCCTAAGCAAAAAAAACCACCCAACCAATCAAACAGAAAGAGCTTCGTGACACCTTGTTATCATATATATACTTTGCCTTTAAAATGTTACTTTAATAAGTGTCCTGTGTAATACCACCCTAACATATGAAAAAGTCACATAGATATATAGTCACACTTTCAAATTACTGTTATTTCTGAAAATCAAAAATCTTCGTGTTACTCCCTACTTCAGTAGATTTACATCTATAAAATGAAAGGGTACCTCTTAGAAACTTTCAGTACAACTTAGTGGGCTTAAAAAATAAAAAAAAAAAAAAAAACAAGCCTATTTGGATGTTTTTTCCCCAAGAATCAAGATAAAGGATTAGACTGAAAAAAAAAATGAAAAAAATTAATAAAAATAGACACACTATCCTACACGGCATATCTAAGTAATATTCAATAAAGAACAGAACTTAACCTTTCACTTATTGATATAATAAAAATACGTATGTTTAGATCTCTGAATTCATTTGATATTTCCTCCGAATGTAACTTTTCCAGGGCCAAGTAATCCCAGTTAATGTTTGACGTTTTAACTAAGGTGAAAAATGCAAGCAGTTCTACAAGGGTCTATTTAAGCTACATGATCTTTTCCCCCCAAATATCTCAAAAGAAAGAGTACATCAAATATAAGAAAGGAAAACCTACTCAGCATACACTATACATTGATATTAGACTGCTTACCGCTTTCATTTTAGCCACACCCACCTTTATGTAATTGTAAAATATGGGAACGGTGCAGCTGAGAAATAAAAAAAGCTGAAAAGAACAGTTGGTTTACGTAGTAAAATATGTGCCAAGCACAGATTTTAATTAAAATGAGAAATAGATATATATTGCATGCATTGAACATGACTGTCAAATAGTGGGAAAAAATGCATACGCACCTGTACGATACTGAATTATAGATTATTTTTTTCTAAATTAGCTATAAGTCAGGACAGTTATTTCCTTGAAAGTGAAAGTCAGTGTCTGTGAGTGCACTTCCACTGATGAATAGTGTAAATCTCTTCAAATTCTGGTATTTCTAAGTATACACAGCTAAAAGGAAACAGCTTCGTGCACATTCCCATACTAACTCTTAAAAACGCTTCTGAAAACACTCTGGAAGTAATGATGCAAATCTAAAGAAGTCAGTGCTAAATTTCAATAGGATCTTACTAGTACTGCAATTTCAGAGATTAATCTGAATTTTCTAGCTACCAGGGCATAAAAGCATAAATTGTAGAGACAAACGAAGCAGCTATTCCCAGGAAAAAAGGACTGAAAAAGTGTAATTTGTGTACCGGATTAAAAGAATCCGGGGAAACTAAGGATTGGAGGCAGAAAAACCTCCTTCAACTATTGTATTTCTGCGTTGCACAGAAAATACCTTGAATCACAATCCAGTTGCCATGCTGGAAAACGCTAAGTTTTGCATTTCACTTTAAGACTACACGCTCTCAGCCATGTACACAGAAATCTTTTTGTACAGCACTTCTGCACCCCAACTCTTCTCTACGTCCCTCCTACGTTCTTCGGTTAACTCGTTATTTTCGGTGTTGACGGAGCTAAGC